TTATTGACATATATGCATTCTGTGCAGACTGCCTCGATATTGCTTTTGAAATGAACGGTACTGAGGCTGAGTTTCGGAGTTAACATCAACTGTGAGATGCAGGCACATCAGGCTGACGAGTTCCAAATAGAACGAAACCAGAGTCCTGGATTACATCACTAGTCAACATCCATCTTTGCTTATAATTTTTGTAACTTGAAGCAATATCGACGTAATCCGTATATGATGCACATATATCAATAAGAAACTGATCAATTGTAGTCCTGAATATCAATGATAAGATTAAAAAAACAATACAAAATTCAAAGGGAATTATTCTGCACCTCATTATTGATGTATTTACATCTCAGCTAATTAGTTCAAAAATCAATTTAACCTAAATGTTTTCTTTTAAAGATTATTCCATGATCTGAAACTAAAAATCTGACGGTGGTTGAGTTACATATTCCAAATAATATACTTCAATTTATTTTGAATGATTATTAAAAAAAGTACATGAAGTTGCAATGATCTAGTCTCCTTGTAAATCAGGTAGCAAGACAGATTATAGAGATGTAACTCAAAACAGTGGACATTACATTAAAAAAACGTATGTGATAATAGATAAGTTTTGAATGATGACAGGAGTCGCAGATACAGTTGCTGCTATATTAAAAATAGAAACCAAACCACTTTTCTGTTAATCCATCTTACATAATTACACCTATTACTCCCAATGGAGCGTAAGCTGCTGACCAGCATTCTACAACCTACTCTGTCCTGCAGTTTCCTTTCCAGTTTTGTCCGATTTATGTTAATTTTTCTCATATCTGTCTCCATTTCTCGGTGTATTGTGTTCTTTGGTGATTCCTCTTTTCCTCCTTTAGCCCTGAGGATTCCAAATGAAGGTTTGCTTTGTGACACAGTTAGATGCTTTCCTCACTATGTGTCCTAATTACTTCCAACGCTTCTTCCTGATTTCTATTAATCCATTTAATTATCCCTAAATAACATTGGTGTTCAACAACTCATAACTAACAAACAAAAATGTATGACGTAAATGATATTAACAAAATTCATTTGGTACATAGTCATCACCATTGACAAATTTTTGGCATGAGGAACGAATTCACGGTGTTTCTAGGTCTCTCTGTAAGTGTGATAGAATAAAACTGTTGGTTTTGAATGTATCTCCTAATGAAATCAGTTTATAATGAAGTTTTCGTGTTAATATATCAAAATTATCTGGAAATTTCTTATTCAGCTAATGAATAACAACAAGTTTTAAGTTGATATACCATCAAAATAGTCTATTATATTTTATTAAGCTGAAGATTAATGATCTGAAATTCACCATTGTACAGGTAGATTTTTAAAAAACAAAACATTCAAATTCACTTGATGTAGTTTACTTGTATCTTCCCATTGTTGTTTAAGACTTCAATTGATCAGTCTCTTAGTGGTATATGTGCATCCTGTACAGATTGCTTTGATATTGTCTTAAGTCACAAACGTCATAAGCAAAGATGAATAGTGACCAGCAGTGCAATCCAAGACGCGCGTTTTGTTCTATTTGGGACTCGTCAGCTGTTCACTCTAGGACTTGAACCCAGTAACGTTCGGTTCAAAAGCTATGTTATAATTTGTGATTTGCCGGTTAGAGAGCAGCGTATTATCGATCGAAACACTGACGCATAAAATACGAGCGAGCAGCCTAGAGTTCTGATTTGCCCTGCTTCCCTGTCTAGCCCAGCCAGTTGAGTCCAGAACACAAGTCTCAGCCTTGGTGATATGAATCATTGTATTTCAAACATACTCTGTTTATATAACAATCAAACAAACTACAACGTACTATAGAATAGAAAATAACATTTGTACAAGATTTAACCTTCAGGAAATGACACAAATAAATATTGACCAGTGGGGAGATGACACTATTCCTCATTCAGGAATGGCATTAGATAATTTCTGGGACATTTTCTGAACACCCCAACACGCTATCGGATTGTCAACTTAGCAACTAAATCATTCACAAAATAAAAATTAATAATAAACAGACATTCTTATCGACTTTTAGACAATTTATTTTAAAAAAATGATATATAATAAATAAATCTCTGTCTAATCCTTAATAAACTATACATTCGTACAAATAATCTGTTAGCTAAAGATTCTTTATAATTGATTGTTGTTTCCTACTGCTCATATTTTATCAAAGAGAAAAAAAGTAGGAAAAAGAATAAAAGAAAACTAAAACTATATGATATTGACTATGTGTATACAAAATGAGAATGACTATTATAAACACCAAAATTATTAAATCATTTATGTTAATTCAAAAAAATATATATTTCCCTAAGTAATTGTTATGTTCCGATAACCATAATGAATGGTAACTTTTGGGATCCATTTATGAACCAGTACTATGTGTATATTTTTATATTATAATTGTTAAACAATTAAACTATTCATATTCATGTCCCTCTTATTATGAGCGTTATTTTGACCCATGAATTATTATTCTATGATTTACCATTCGTGAATTATGCCCTGTCTATTAATTACTATCTTCCACATTCACTACCACATTTGGCTAAATCTTGTACAAATGTTATTTTCTATTTTATGGTACGATGTGGTCTAATTGATTGGTGTATAAACCGAGTATGTTTGAAATAAATGATTCATATTGCAGAGGCTGAGACTAGTGTTCTGTTCTTAATTAGCTGGACTAGGCAGGAAGCAGGAGCGATAAGTACTCTAGACTGCTCGTACGGGTTTTCCTCGTCATTAGTCCGATCGATAATTCACTGTTTTTTAATTCGCGGTAGCGTTACGTTATACATTAACAGGTCACACAGGTCACAAGTTATAACAGTAATTTTATAGATAGTTATAGTTCCATAAGAGTTATATCACTTGAGCTGAATAAAGTTCATAGTTGAAACACAAGAGCTACATGAATACATACACATAAGTAAATATATAATTTGATGAAAGAGAATAAGAATTAAAATAACGTTTGTTTAAATTAGAGAAATAGTGAATTTATGAATTTACTTTAACGCTATAAGTTAATTTTTCCCATATTGAATAAACCCTAGGAAGTTGTATTTAACATATCTCATGTCATTAGTGTGGCTAAGGACAGATTGGACTAGAGAATGTTGGTCGGTTGGCCTACGCTTCACTGGGAGTAACAGGAGTAAGTAATTAAGTAATGCCATTAGTATATTTTTATTTATTCAGATTGTAATAGATCATTTGGAATTATTGAACATTTAAAGAATGGAAACTTCAATTCATGAAGGTAACCTTCAGTAAAATGTGAAAAATATATGAGAATGATAACTGAAAATTGTTTATGCACATAAATCGGTATAACTTAACAATCAGATTGGACAAAGTTATAATCATATATTATAGCTTGATATGGTGCAACAATGCAACTATAAACAGTACTCTATTGTTCATGAATTCAACATACTAAATTGTTAGAGTGATCCAGAAAACTTGTCACAAAAGCCAAGAAAGGCTCAGGAAACACTAAGAAGCATTTTATCACTAGAAGTTTAGCCAGAAACACCAAGAAAGTGAAAAGTCACATGTAGAGTTTCTGATTGGCTGATTACTATGCTGCTACTATGTTTAGTAGCATTCCAGAATTTTCGGGGTACCCAAGGACATCTAAAATACTTTAAAATCCTATATTTTCAGTACTAAAACGAACCTTTGGAGTAAAGTGCTTCTCGCATATTTTGCCCCTTTTCTATCGTGTTCAGGTCTCTGTGTAGTTCTAGCTTGGGAACCTAATATAGCGTTCAATTAGCAACACTTGTCATAAATACGAACAAGATATCTCAGAAGTTGTACTTTCTTTATATTCCTGTGTTTGAAGCATTACATAATCTATTGACCGATTAGGCATTGCTATTTGTTATATTAACTAGATGATACAGTATCAATTAACTCTATTCAAGCAACATTTCATCCAAAAATTAGTAAAAAACGCGTAGAGTTATAATGTATGAGAATACATCCCATGAAAATGTTTTTATATATACTGTATATTAGTTGAAACTTTCTGGGTCTGTTTTAACATGAAGGAAATTCTTACTGACTTTGTTAATACACCAAAACTCTGATAAATTCAGAAAACTACCTTTGATATTATTTGAACATCACAAACCTACAAAGAGTAGCACCTACATGAGAAAGCTTTGAATTCTACTGCTTTCTGAAACCTATAAATCAGTTTTTAGGTTCTACAATACCATTTTAGGAGTGGTCAAATTGAAGTGTCCTTTCAAAACTTGTGTATTGAGACCATTGGATACCGGCTCAGTGATCCAGTAGGTTAAGCATTCGCGTGCAAGACTGATGGCTCTGGGTTCGAATCCAGCAGGGAGCGGGATCGTGGATGCGCACTGTTCAGCAGTCTCAAAATAGAACGAAACAGCCGTCCACTGCTTCCAGGTTTTCAATGGTGGTCTAACATTAATCGGATCATGATCTCAATTAAAATTTTAATAATCCCCACAATGCTTATACTGATAGTTTATATGAGTACCTTACATTGATTATTCACTATTATTACATATTTAATGATATTATCTGATAACAGTAAACAAAAGGATTATCCTGCTTAAGACTTATCTACCGAATGAAATTATATCTCAGAGTTAATATCCTAACTACAACTTGAGTCCGGTATCGTGGTTCTTTTAAACTACTGATACACATTAACAATTAAATACTTTAAAGAATACAACAGTAATTATTATTTGTAAAGTAATATATAAACTTAAAAGTTAAAATCCAAGTAAATGGAATAGAAGATATTTATTAAATTACACTGTTCATTAATAATATTTTAAGTAAACAAATAGATTGTATAAATATTAATAATTAAATAAATATGATAAAGAAAAATAAATAAAAAATAGATATTGATTTTTAAAAAATCTACTCATTTTATCGATTAAAAAAATAAGAAAAACAATCAATATTTCCATTAGATTTTATTGCTTTCCATTGCTTCTATTATTATTATTATTATTATTATCACTATTACCATTATTATTATTATCACTATTACCATTATTATTATTATTACTATTATTATTATTACTATTATTATTATTATTATTACTATTATTATTATTATTACTATTATTATTATTATTACTATTACTATTATTATTATTATTATTATTATTATTATTATTATTATTATTATTATTAGATACGTACACGAATATGTTTATCTGGAATAAACATTTAATTAATTGATGACCATTGATTAAACAAATGAATGGATGAATGAATGGACAAAAATGTTTTTTATATTTAATTTTACATGTTTCAGGAATTTTGCTATAAATATTTTTTTCTTTTTCCGGAGTATTTTTGACCTTAAAAATCAAAATATTTGATTCTTTTTTCTCATTGGACATAAATTGAATCCTATCAGAAGGGTTTAGTGAATATATTATCGTAATTTTAATGGTTAAGACAATGAGTCAATTGAAACTATATCAAAGTAGACAACCTGGAAGCGCTGGACGGCCAACTCGTCATATTGTAGGACTTTTCAACAGTGCGCATCCACGACCTCACTTCGCGAGATTCAAACGCAGGACCTATCAGTCTCATGTGCTGATGAGTTTTACAAAAACACGAAACGACCGTCCAGTGCTTTCAGATTTTCCATGATGGTCTAGCTTCAATTGATTCATGATCTCAAACATTGAAATCTCTAAAATATCTACAAAAACCCTTCTGATACTAATCAACATATGCTCATTAGTGATTGGCTTGAAAAGGTATTTCCTGGAGTTCTAGTGAGAAGCAGTGGACAGTAGAGTTCAACCAGGTCTATTGTGAGATATTAACTCACTGAAGACCTGGGTGGATGTGTCACTCGATTTCGTGGATTTTTTGAAGTTAGACATTAACACCGTTGAATGCTGACCGGCTAAGTGGTCTAGTGCTTAAACGCTCGCACAAGAGATTTATAGGTCCTGGGTTCGAATCTCGCAATGCAAAGTCTTGGATGCGCACTGCCGAGGAGTCTCACAATAGGACGAGTTGGCCGTCATGATCTCAACCATTGAAATAAATTGAATATCAAGAAATGGAAAGACAAAATATTATTATAACCAAATAAAATGACTTTCATATTGATAAACAAAGATCCATAGTGACTAGCAATGGAATCCGAAACGCGCGTTTCGTCTTATTTAAGACTTGTTAGCTGGATGGACCTATTACATCTTATAGTTGATGTTCATATGCTAATAAGAGACTGACTAATTACAGTTCTAAACACTAATGGGAAGATTCAAGTTAACAATACCAAATGACTTTCATATTTATTTATAAGTGTATTAGACCTTTAAACATTTACAATTAGATCTATGAAGAAGCATATTCAATATGGTTTATGTATACTTTAGAATAGTGTATAAAAAAATGAAATACGGCGAATTAATGTAGTAATTTATTTGCTGAACAATTCTGATATATGTAAGAATAATGATGAAAATATTAGTACGTTTTCGTTGTATAGTAATACAGGAAATTAAATAGGATTGAGTTAGACCTACATTGTTTAAGATTATACTAGTTTTATGCATAACATTTTATCTTTAAATATGTAGAAAATGTCTATCTAATAGAATTAGATTAACTCAAAGACAATTATGTGAGTTATAACACAACAAACATTCATGATTTACTTCTAGCTAGCAACACAATCGAACAATTCTGTTTAATATCACAAGAGGTTTTGTGGAGATTGTAATAATTTCAATAGTTGAGATCATGAGTTAATTGAAGCTAGACCACTATGGAAAATCTGGAAGCACTGGACCGCCAACTCGTTCTATTGTGGGACTCCCCAATAATGCGCATCCACGACCCTGCAAGCAGGAATCAAGCTCAAGACGTTCGGTCTTGTGCAGGCGGTGAATGAAAATTATAAAGTTAGACATAGTCATCGTTGGATCTCAGATTAGTGGTTATGGGGTTCAATTACAACTGGATATGAACTGCTGAGTAGTCTCATTTTCTTACGATACAATAATCTGGTGCAATCCCCTATACTAATTGTAGCTGTTTCAAACAACAGGAAACAACATTTCAAGAAATGAACATTTGATAATTATGCTATGCTATCACTCATTTTATTGATTTTAGAAAGTAAATGCTATGAGCAAATATTACCAACAGCTTTTGGTTAATAATTTTCTAACTAGAACTTCATTAGTAATACACAGGCTTAAACTCTTTATATCTAAACTAAGTTTATATTTTTGTCCATTATATTAACATCCTATATATTTTCTGGAGTAATACTCCATATATTACTACTTATATCGTATCACTAACAATCAGATCATGAATAAATGTACTGCTATTGGCATGAAGTTATCCTTTCTGCAGCTGGATAATAAAATTTAGTCTGTAAAACAAAAATCAAAAATTTCAATTTGGATCTAGTTTACATTTGTAGAAAAGTTTTATACATTTGAATAAATAAGATTAAGATTTTGCCTACAGCTATATATTAGTCTATATATTTAAATCCATTCAACCTTATGAAGGAATAAATCAATGAATATCGTAGGCAAAAAATTAAACATGATTCCTTTTAGTTAAATATATGATATTCATAGCTCATAATATAGTGAACGAGAACACAAGTGGAGATAATCGAATGTACTTGAATACAAAATTACAGAATGTCTTAGTAAAATATAAGAACCATACAATAAATACTTCATTATTGGGAATGTTGCTATCTCGTCACAGAGAGTGATTTGTGCGATAGACTTATCTCTTAATCAGAGCTCTAATTCACCAACGAAAAATATTACTCTGATCTAAACTTGATGTAATTCTATTCACGCTTCTGAGAACCGATTTATACCACAAGTTTTTGAAGTACTTTTAAGTTTTACATAATGTGGAAGTACAATTAAAAGTATTTCGTTCTAAAATCAGTGTTAGAAATATCATTAATGCTTGATCAAACACAAACAGACTTCTCGGCCTCAAGTCTCATCCCTTGATCATAAAGAAACTTATAAGAGGTCACCAACATTATGTTACGTTATCTAAACCAATAAACAATACATAGTCTGTGTATACCACACTCACTAAGCCGATCGAATAAACGTTATATGGTGATCACATATGAAGTCCACTATAACCTAAATGTTAGCGGATTTAACATAAATACAAATGTGTCTACAAGAAACCAATCTATCCAATGTTTGAACCTACAGTTTGAAACCAAAGCAGTTAAAACATTCTTTATCACTTTACCAATTATTCACAAGTAGGACTCATATTTTCTGCAGCTGTTCCTCCTCAACCCTAACGAGCCAGTGTTCTCTCTAATTGTGCATTAAGTTGAATAAACATATAATTTTTCTACCTATAAAATGATTTTAAAGTCTAAAGAGATTCCTAACCCTTTCTGTCACAGCTTGTTTAGGCTATAGCCCAAACGTTCACACATACAAAACCATAAACTAATCACCAGTAACAGTGATACGAATATGATTTCATTTTTGGCAATAAAACTGTTCTCTTGTGATATACATTTTACTGACAATTCTGTTAGTATGTTTACTATGATGATATTAAAAAGGAAATTGTATTTTCAACTTAATAGATATAAATTAACTTTCTCAAAATTTTTGGTACTCATCATACTGATGTCATAGAAATTAAATTATTGAAGATAAAACTAGAAAAGTTGTTAGATTTTGTGTGTTTAATCAACTTATTTTAGGGTAATTTAATAGTTCAATTCATGAATCAATTGAACCTAGACCACCGTGGAAAACCTAGAATTACTGGACGGCCATTTCATCCTAGTATATGACCCGTCAGTAGTGTGTATCTTCGATCCTACCCGTGGGATTCGAACTCAGGACCTATCGATCTCGCATCAGAACATTTCAATTGACTCATGAATTCAACTATTAAATTACTATAATATCCACAAAACCGCTTTCTCATTATTCTAGGGTGATTTAAATTTTCTTTAGGCTTTTAAATAAAGATCTACCACTGGTCTGTTATGAGTACAAGATATGAAGTAGTTTTAGTTCATTTTTCTAAATATTCATCATTATTTGTTGAAGGATATCATTTCTCTCCTCAGTTAGATAAGATCCAACTTAATCTATATAAGCACAATAAATTTACTTAATATTTGGATTTCTCCCATCCATCACAGTATAAATAATCAAATTATGTCAGGAGATATATTCCTGTTAAATTGTACTACACACACGTACTTACTTACTTGCGCCTGTTACTCCCAATTGAGCATAGGCCGCCGACCAGCATTCTCCAACCCACTCTGTCCTGGGCCTTCTTTTCTAGTTCCATCCAATTCTTGTTCATTTTTCTCATTTCTCTTTCCATTTCCCAACGTAGTGTGTTCTTTGATCTTCCTCTTCTTTTCCTTTGGATCTGAGGATTCCAAGTGAGTGCTTGCCTTGTAACGCAATTCGGTGCTTTCATCAATGTGTGTCATATCCACTTCCAACACTTCTTCCTGATTTCTTCCTCCGCTAGGATCTGGTTTGTTCTCTCCCATAGTAGGTTGTTACTGGTAGTGTCTGGTCAACAGATCAGAAGTATTTTGCATAGACAACAGTTGATGAACACTTGTATGTTCTAGATGATGGCTTTCGTAATTTTCCAAGTATCCACCTCACACAGTAGAACAGTGTTGACATTTGTATTGAAAATTCTGACTTTCGTGTTGGTTGATAATTGTTTTGAGTTCCAGATATTCTTCAGTTGTAGGTATGCTGCTCTTGCTTTGCCAATCCGTGCCTTCACATCTGCATCAGATCCACCGTGTTCATCGATGATACTGCCCAAATATGTAAAGGTTTTTACATCTTCCAAAGCTTCTCCGTCAATTGTGATTGGATTGGTACATGTTGTGTTGTATCGAAGAATCTTGCTTTTCCCTTTGTGTATATTGAGACCTATTGCTGCTGAGGCTGCAGCTACACTGGTTGTCTTCTCCTGCATTTGTTGTTGTGTATGCGATAGAAGAGCCAGATCATCTGCGAAGTCTAGATCATCCGATTGCATCCTAGCTATCCTACTACACACACACACACACAGACTATTCACCGAGGTCTTCCAAATGAAAGACAAATCTGAACAAAAAATCAAATTTAAAAATTTGCAAAGAACATTTAAAATTGTTTGCAGGATTTTTCTGTCGGCTGTTTTCCATTGTCTAATCTGATATTTTATCTCATATATTATCACTGGTTAGGTTTTATTCTGTAACTATGATCTTATTATGTCCAGGAAGATAAAACAGTATAAGATTATTATTCCAATAAAATTTGATTCACCTTATAAACACTTTCATCTATTACTCACTAATATCTCCAAACTATTCCATTCATACCATTGGTTAATGACGTAATGTTAAATGAATTAATGAAACTCTATAAAAGGGAAGGAATAAATGGAAAGATCATGATTCGGATACTAGAAATAATAGATTTGTTTATTGTTCAACATATATCCAATTTATAA